AGAAAGAAAGAAAGAAAGAAAGAAAGAAAGAAAGAAAGGAGGGAGGGAGGGAGGGAGGGAGTGAGTGAGTGAGTGAGTGAGTGAGTGAGTGAGTGAGTCAGGAGACTTAATGCCCAAGCAAACAGCTCCAGCTGAATTTCATGCAAGCTTTGGCCCAATTTCCCAACCTTTCTGGAAGGGATCCATGCAGATCTGAGGAATGATCTCTCTTTCTCTCCCCTGCAATATAGGAGGGAGCAAAACAAATCCCACACCAGCTTGAAGCTTGCACACAGCCTACTTGGTGCAAAGCTCACCCAACTGGTCTCTTGCTGCAAAGGTCAGAATAATCAGACCCACGCTGGGCGTTAGGATGCCCACACCCATCCCGTTTCGCAAGCGGAGCCATCAACCTTTGCTACCAGAGGCACAGGGGCTGGCGAGGGAACGCTCGGCTGGCCCGGGGACATCGATCCGAGCCCTCCCCTGCCCGCTGCCCGCGTGAGGGACAGCCTTGCCCCAAGATAAAGGAGTCATACAGGCCTGCTGGGGTCTCTTTTATTTTCTTTTTTCCTGCTTTCTCTGGACCGCCGTGAAGAGCAAGAAAAGCGGAAGGGACGGCTGTTGCAATTGCTCTAGGCCAGCCCCTTTCCCATGGAGATTTCCACCCCTGGCTCAAAACCTCACCACCACACCCAGCCAGAGCCGCCTGTTTCCTATCCAGAGCTCACACTCCTCCTTCAAAGCTGCAGTCAAGCAGCAGGACCCGCGGGTGCTTCTGTGTGGCACACAAGTTTTCCAAGATTATTGGCGGGGCGAGCTCCGGGCAGCGCCCCCAGATTGCAGGCCGTGCCTTTCCTGCCTTTGCAAACAGAGAACGTGCTGGATGGCACAGGCATCAAACAGCCCCGGAGTTCATCTTTGGCCGTGTTGCACAAACCCAGCCGTTCAATGAGAGCTGAGGCACGTGGTTGGCACACCCGGCTGACGGTGGTTTATTCCATAAACCGGGCTTTAACAAAGAAATGGTTTACTGGCCCATGAAAATCAGGCTGGCTTTCCGCGCAGCCTGAAAGTTTAGTTTTGAGTGTGTTTTCTGCTTCCCTTGAGAGGTGAGATGGCACTGCTCGTGGGCACATAATTCATAGAAATTAATGGAGAATTAATCTATTTCTTCTTATAACCTGAGGGGACTCTCAGTTTGCCTTTTATGGGAAGGAAGGGGAAGAGGAAGGGAATTTATTTATCATATAAATATGATAGATGATAGATAAATGGATGGATGGATGGATGGATGGATGGATGGATAGATAGATAGATAGATAGATAGATAGATAGATAGATAGATAGATAGATAGATAATGTTTGACAGAGGAGGAGAAGGAGGAGGCAAGAAAGGGTGAGCTAGAAACTTCAATCTGCATTATTATTTTATTGCAAATGCTTATCAGTCCCTTCTCATTTTGCAAAAGCATCTTATGCAAACTCTCTTCATCTTTACCAGAACAATTAAGCTGTGTCTCTTGACCGTGGCCTATAAAAACAGTTTATTTATAGACTGTATTCTTTCGTAGCCTAGTTTCTTGGGCGGGGGGGGGGGGGAAAAAAAAAAGGCAAACCCGAAAAAGGGGCCCAAAGGTTTAAAAAAAAAAAAGGGTTTTGTTTCCACTTT